CAATCGCCTATCCAGCCTCCATCTCCACGATTTAAACACCACAGAGCCGAGCACGCAGTCCATCTCGAACCAAGCAACGCGGCCCCCCCCCCCCCCCCCCCCCCCCCAGGCACATCCTTCCTTGAGCGCCGTCTCCGAAAGCCCCCGTCTCTACCGACCGCTGTACGATACCCGATCGGTGATCATCAGCCTTGATGCTCACTCGCCTTTTCCCAACCGAGCCACCGTAACTTCGGACAGTCGCTCCAGTACAAAGCACAAACGTCGGCTAACGAGCTCATGGCTGACGGGGTCATTGCCAGGCTCATGTCAGGTGGTCGTGGCGCGCGCTCTTTCTATGAAGAGTTACGTGGCCGCGACAATGTCTCTGATGTTGACGATCGTGCTGGGCTCTTGGATGAAGAAAATCTCAACCAGCATTTTAATGACTACGATCTTGAAAATGCAGAAGGGCTAAGACTTGAGGACAGTAGGGCCACTGTCGACGGCCGGATCCCACGAGGCCGAGCCCAAATTGCCGGCCGTCCACCACGTCCAGCTGCTACCACACATTGGGGTACCAGCCACGATGACGACGGTGACAATGACGTACCCGCCTCCCTGCTTGTTGAACGTTATGATAGGGGAGCTGCTCCCTTGGGCTCGCCGGGGAAGCCGAGAAGTCAGCATGCAGGATCGCGTGCACATCCTGCTCCAGGGCTGTCCAAGGGCCGTACGCATCAAAAAAGGCCACATATCGACCAAGAACTTCAGCCCCCGCTGCATAGCAATGCCGCGCCTAGCTCCCTTCTGGCTGGTGCTATAACAGGCAACGCTAAGAAGATGGCGGAATGGAGATGGGCTAATATTACTAATCTTGACAGCTTCATGCAAGACGTTTACAGCTACTACCGGGGGAGTGGAATGTGGTGTATTATGGTCGAAAGGGTGCTTCACTTGATGTGAGTGAGCCTTATCCCTCGCACGTCTTCAGAGCAGAAAGAACCGGCCGCATGAGTGAATACTGACAACAACAACAACAACAGCAAAGTCGCATTTGTAGCTTTCCTCTTGACATTTCTCTCCCAATGCGTTGACTTTAAGAAGATTCCGAGTAACCAGAAGCTATCTCAAGTCCTCGTTCCTCAGTGTACTCGGAATATGTCCGGGTTATGGAACATCGGTCTGTGGCTCTTTGCCTTCTATTTCATGTGGAAATCAATACAGTACATCCTTGATTTACGCCGGCTGACGCATGTTCGGGATTTTTACATCCATCTGCTCAACATTCCCGATGAAGATATGCAGACCATCACATGGCAGGAGGTTGTAGCCAGGATAATGGTACTCCGGGATCAGAACGTAAGGACGACTAGGACCATGACACCGCAAAATCAGCGTTGGGTCCTTGGTAGCCAATCCAAGGAGAGGCTAGACGCTTCCGACATTGCGAATCGACTGATGAGACGAGAGAACTATATGATCGCCATGATAAATAAGGATATACTCGACTTGACGATCCCTCTGCCGATTCTTCGCAACCGTCAGCTTCTTTCACAGACGCTCGAATGGACTCTGATGTTCAGCATTCTCGACTTTGTCTTTGACCCCAAGGGTCAAGTACATCAGGAATTTCTCAGGTCCGATCGCCGGGGCATCCTCAGCGCCAAACTTCGGAGCCGGTTCATCTTCGCCGGCGTTATGATTCTCATACTGTCGCCTTTCGTGGCAGGGTACCTTATCATCGTGTATTTTTTGGAATATTACAATGTACGTCAAATTGGGCGTGATTACATGGTAGAGATGCCATCGCTGACACTGTTTTTTTTTTTTTTTCTAGGAAATCCAAAAGAACCCGTCGATATTGTCCGCGCGAAGCTACACACCTCTTGCGGAATGGAAGTTTAGAGAGTTCAACGAGCTTCCTCATCTGTTTAAGAGACGATTGGACATGTCTCACCCCTTTGCCAGCCATTACATTGATCAGTTTCCCAAAGCCAAGACGTCAATGGTGGCCAAGACTGTGTCATTCATAGCCGGCTCGATTGCTACGGTCCTTGCTTTAATTTCGGTTTTCGACCCGGAAATGTTCCTCGGCTTCGAAATCACGCACGATCGCACCGTGCTTTTTTATACGGCTGTGTTCGGAGCTATATGGAGTGTAGCTCGCGGGAGTGTGTCCGAAGATAACGCGGTATTCGATCCTGAGTATGCGCTTGGCAATGTGGTGGAATATACGCATTACCAGCCGGAGCACTGGAAAGACCGGTGGCATAGCGCTGACGTGAAGGCTGAGTTCGAGGAGCTTTACAAGTTGAAGCTGGTTATCTTCGTCGAAGAAATTCTCAGCATCTTGACAACTCCCTTTGTCCTGTTTTTCAGCCTTCCCAAGTCAGCTGATCAGATCATTGACTTCTTCCGTGAATTTACGATTCACGTGGACGGTCTTGGCTACGTGTGCTACTTCGCCGAGTTTGACTTTAAAAAAGGCTCCAAAAATCAAGCGCCAGCGGCGACCGCAGGCGAAGGAGATGTACGAGATGACTATTACTCTACAAAGCATGGCAAGATGGAGGCGTCCATGTATGGATTTATCAACAATTATGCTCGAAACCCAAAACATCTCCCGCCTGCGATGCGCCAGCAGTTTCACTTGCCGCCGGTCTTCCCCGGCATAACTTCGCCAACGTTGGCAGGTGATTTGGCAGCTTCACGTATGGGCCGCAGCCAGCGAGGAAGGAGTAAAGGTCCCCTCCCTTCGCGTACGCCGCGGCCTGGGGCGGTAATGGCAGAGCCTTCGCCTATGGCGTCCATCCTCCTGGATCCGCGCCATCAACCAATTTTCCCTAACAACATGAGCTTTGTCAACACGGGACACCAGTTCCGTGGGGGTAATCAGGGCGACGGTCACATGAAGGGAGGAGGATCGATGGAGGAGGATGTTAAAGGTGCTGCACGCCACGGTCAGCAAACGCACGACGACGAGTCGGAAGACAGCAGGGCAGGACTGGATGAATCAGCATGGCAGGTATCACCAACCAAAGATTTGAGCAGAGAAAACAGCGGGCGGGGCCTGGACTCGGTTGTCGGTGAGGAAGCGGGAAATGGAGCTGGAGTGGTACACATGCTCTATCAGTTCAACCAGGCGCATCTGAATAGAAGGCTTGGTGGTGTGAGATGAAACGACCAAGACCCTCGCGTCACGGGTCGGGGACTTGGATAATTCTAGAGGAAAGCGCAGGCATCACGGGACGAACATATGATACCTGCCAGGTACTTTGGCATGAAACTGGAGAAAAGCGTTAGGAACACCGGGTCTGTAGCATACTACATTATGCAACATTCTGAAGTTTCCTTTCTGGCTTTCAGATCGGCAGTTTTTTAGCGATAAAGTGGCGCGACTACGGTAATCGTACTGGGGAGGGAGGGGACTGTGCCGTCGAGTTTGGTCGAATCGGAAAATGATTCGTTGTACGAAAACAGACACACAGTACTAGTATTGTATATACACTATGTTATCCGATACTCGGATCTGATAAGGCAAAATCCATGGATCTGATAACGGTTAGATGGCCCTGGACGCCGGCTGTGACAGCTGCAACCCATCAAGGTACGCACAGTCGGCACAGAAGGTACTTGACTAGCCGTCTGCGCATGGCATTCATGGTAGCTGGTATCGAACCATTTTGACGGCGCGAAAGCATTCCTGCAAAAGCTAAACTCAGCGCTGGTATCTTGGACGCAAATTTTTCAAAGTGCAAGTACTGTACATAGGCAAGGTACATTCCTATCCCCACCATACTCCACCAATCGTTACCGGTGGCATGCCACCAAGCCCAGGACTGCACATGGCTGCACAGGACCCTAAAATACACAATGGAACACGGGGTCGTTGGGCTCTTTTTCCTTTTCTTTTTTCTTTTTTTTTTTTTAAGAAAAAAAAACTGTGTCGAGCCATCGACTAGGGCCGGGTTTCTTTTTCCACCAGTACCATAGTATACTGAACCAAAGTGTAGGTGATGCGTTGGGACATGAATCAGTCAAGTTTGCACCGAGGGTGGGCAAGGTTGTTTGTTTGATTGGCTGACGGGCCTCGGGACTTGTAATCTGATAAGCCCGGTAGGCTGGGGGGCGCTCGAGAGAGAGAGAGGGGGGAAGGGATGGAAAGACCAAACCAAGCCGCTAGCGGAGACGGACCCAGCGCGAACAATCCCCTCAACCACTCCGTCAATTGCGGGGTTGCTTGACGGAGGTTGTAATTACTACACTAGTAGGTACACAGTACACAGTAGTGTAGACATCTGCTTGGCATTATAATGATAGTGAAGTTGGGAATGGGGGCCCGATTGGGGATACGGGTAGATGTCGTTTGACGCGAGTAGGTTCTTGATCGTTATGATCTACTTGATCGGATGCCTTCCTCTCAGTGCCTGGTTGATGTTGCAATGCTCGATTGAAATTCGAGGTACCTCCTCAATGGAGGTATATGCTGGCAGAGTGAATCCCTGCGTATCATGGGAAAGAACTGTGAAGCTATCTGGCATCGACGTCTTGGGCCTGGGTGGATTAGTAGCAGCAATTCAAGGTACCTATGCCCTGCCGAGCCTGTCCGAACATTGTGCCGGAACGGCTCTGCGGGCGTCGGTTGAGCGTGTCTGTTAAGCTCGATGCGTGCCAAGCAGATTATTTTTAACAATTTTTTTTTTCTTTTTCTTTTGGCTGCAAGGCCGTGCCGACTACGGGTCAAGATTTTGACAAAACCGACGCCTCATCCGTCAATCCTCCCCAAAATTCCCGTCCTTGCTTGAACCGCCACCACGGCAGACGCCCCTCCGCCCCCCCTCCTCCGTTCCGCGCCCTCCGTTGCGACGACACCCACCGCCCGATACCGACGACAGTACTCTTGGCCGACACAATCGATTCCTTTGGTGTGAAGTTCGATTGATACACAGGCTTCGACCCGCGGTGTTGCGCAAAAAGGCTAGGGCCAGGTCCCAGACACGAGGAAACAGAGCAGCTGGCTACATTTATATCGCAGCCGCCGTTTGCATTGCGTCACCTCGCTGCTGCCCTTTTGAATTGAACCGCTCGGTGTCTGTGGAATACACCTGTATTGGTCCGCATCGCCCGTCGCCGACCCTTCCTCTCTACCCTGCCGTCTTTTCCAAGGACGGTCCCAGGAGCCCTTCAAGCTGGCTCTTAGCGCAGGAGCATCGGAGGCAGTGGCTTCCAAAATGACCCAGCCAAACGCTATCGATGAGGAGGATTACGAGTACGTGGCGGCGACTCATGAGACAATACAACGAACACCTCGGGGCCCGCTGACACCGCATCTATCTATATAGCTATGAGTCGCTCCCGCCCAACTTCTCGCTCATCCAAAACATGGCCGCCGGCGCCTTTGCTGGCATCGCCGAGCACTGTGCCAGTATGTTCCCCTTGTAGCCGATGCGTTCCATCGGAACCATCTTCGATGGGCATTGAGCTAACTGATTCTCCCATAGTGTATCCCATCGATGCTGTTAAGGTGGGCGAACGGCCCCTTATCCGTCCACGCGCGAGACCTCAACGAGTCACTGACTGGATTTCCTCAGACCCGTATGCAAATTGTGAACTCGAACCCTTCTGCGGTCTATCATGGCGTCATCCAGAGCACCTATCGAATTGCTTCGACCGAGGGCATCTTCAGCTTGTGGCGCGGCATGTCCAGCGTCATTGCCGGAGCCGGTTAGTTTGCCTCTCCGTCTCTCCGGATCTCGCGGCTACCAACTAATGTCAATCTGATAGGCCCTGCGCACGCCGTTTACTTTGCGACTTACGAAGCGGTCAAGCACTTGATGGGCGGTAACAAGGTTGGCGAGCATCATTTCCTCGCTGCTGCCACTAGCGGTGCTTGCGCGACCATCGCCAGTGATGCCCTGATGAACCCCTTCGATGGTATGCCCACCCATATATGCCTATACACTCTGCGGACCCATACATGTAAAAGCGTAGTTCTAACGCAATTGCAACACAGTGATCAAGCAGCGCATGCAGATCCAGAACTCCGCCAAGATGTACCGCTCCATGCTCGACTGCGCCAAGTATGTTTACCGGAACGAGGGTCTCGGGGCTTTCTACGTCTCGTACCCCACCACGCTGTCGATGACCGTCCCTTTCACCGCGCTTCAGTTCCTAGCCTATGAGTCGATATCAACCTCGATGAACCCCACCAAGAAGTACGACCCAGCGACACACTGCCTTGCTGGCGCCGTAGCTGGCGGCTTCGCAGCCGCGCTTACGACGCCTATGGATGTGATTAAGACCATGCTGCAGACCAGAGGCGCGGCTCAGGACGCTGAGGTCAGAGCCGTGAACGGCTTTGTGGCGGGGTGTAAGCTGCTGTACAGGAGAGAGGGTGTCAAAGGCTTCTTCAAGGGCTTGAAGCCCAGAGTGTTGACCACCATGCCGAGCACGGCCATCTGCTGGTCGGCATATGAGGCGTCTAAGTACGTTCACCCCGATTCTGCTACCAAAGTCTCAAAACTGTCCCGACATGCTTCTAACACATGGGATGTTCCAGGGCCTATTTCATTCACCAAAACAGCCAGTCATGAAATGCGGCTGACCTACGGAGCGGAAGCCATTTGACAAGGTGCGTGCAGCTGTCTGCAAAGCTTTCTTGTATTTCTTCTTATTCCGAGCATGTTGCCGCTGTATTTGTTAGTGTTAACTCGCTCGCTGCAGCCAGGATCAGCAAAACTCGACATCCTCGGATATTCATGCACGGCGTTAGAGGATAAAAGAAAGAGACTGCCTCCATTCCAGCGTATGGAGCCAACCAGACGCGAGGTGGAGGAAGCCCAACACCACTCAAACTCGCTCACTTGCGGGGATTAAATGTCCATTCATTCGCCCTTGGCGTCCGTCTGATAACGGGCAAATGCCTGGGCGCGTTGTCCACGAGGGCGCACTGCGGAATGGGGTACTCAGAGGCTGGGACGGGCACAAGGTGTCCTTCACCCTAGCCAGGAACAATGGGGTTCTGTGCAATACCAAGCGACTACAAGGATACAAAGCAAAAACAAGGAACACCAAATCCAATTATGTACGTAATGTAACTTTGTTTCCTTGTCTTCTGCTGTTTTATACTCCTTGCACAAATTGTTCCCAAAGGTTCCTTTGTCCACCCACAAAGTCATGGGTTGTACCGAATCTAAGAGATGCAGGCTATTAGTGCGTTGTGCTTGGTGGCGTGATTGGTGAGGGAAAAGCAAAGCCTGGTGTGCTGCTAGTCTGTCCTTGGTCTTCAACAACCAGATTGCAGTTATGTATTGATGGCGAGGTAGTGTGGAATTACGGCGGCTGTGTGTAAAAATCAGTTCGTAGGTCTTCACGGGTGTTCATATCTTCTTACCGTTTATATACCACTTACGAGTTATGGTTTACGCTTGTATTGTATCACATCGGAGACAACCATGATTTGCATTTGGCCAAGATTTTTCTTGTGGGAATTAATTGGCCAGCTGTATCGTCTTCCATCTGCATCCTAATAACCACCTGCAAGAAAATGAGGAAAATTCAGACATTGTGATGTCGCAAAGTACCGAAAAGCCGGTCAGTTAATACTCGATGTTATGAACAATAATCACTGCGTGTTCTCTGCCCGTTCATTCGTCCGGCGATGCCTACGAATAGAAGCTCCAACTTAACTCACAAACTCCTGAATCAAAGCTCCCAACCTTGAAGTTTCAAATGCGTCGCGCGCCTGACACCATAATCAAGAACAACATGGCATTCCACATGCTTTTGGTATCCACCCATGTACCCGATGAGCTGTCCCGCGATGTTTAGCCACCAAACGGAAACCCTCCGGGAAACCCGCCACTCCCGTACTGAAATCGGAATCCGCCTCCCGGTCCGCCCTGCTGAAACATGTACGGGTTACCACCATGCCCGCCGAAGGGCTGTCCTCCCTGTTGTCCCTCGTGCGAATTCGGGTCGTCGCCTCTGTCGAACCGTGCCCGTAACTCGGGGTCGCTCAGTACCTCGTACGCCTCGTTGATCTGAGCCATCTTCTTCTCGGCCGCCTCCTTGGTCAGACCTTGCTTGGCTGCCTTGTCTGGGTGGTGAATCTTGGAAAGCTTGCGGTAGGCAGACTTGATCTGTCTCTCATCCGCATCGTGGGAGACGCCCAATACCTTATAGTAGTCCTTCGTCTTGGAGCGTTTGAGTGCAATCTGCGCCTTCTGAATGAGGGGGTTAATGACGTCTGATTTGGCAGGGTGTTCCTCTAGGGCCTTTTGAAGGGTAGCGATGGCGGCGTCGTACTCTTCTGCCGCGATCTGAACTTGCGATTGGTACAGGAGGGCATAGAGGGCAGTGGGATTGATAGCTAGCGACTCGACGCAGTAGGTGGAGGCTTTTTTGCTGTTTGACTGGTGAGAAGGAGCTGGTGTTAGCTACCTTGTTCCATACTGATGTTGACTTGGGGGGCCGCTTGAGAAGTCGACTTACTTCAAAGTATGCCTGACACGCTAGTTCTACTAGTTGTCCTACCAACGCATTACCCGCGGACTTTGGAATCGTCCCGTCCGCCCGAAGCTTTTCAACTTGGCTCTTGACCTCCTGAATGAGGCCTTCCCCTTCTCGATTCGGGACCAGGTTCTTTACGGCCGTCATTGGTTGTTTCTTGTCCAACGCCTTGATCGCTTTCTGGACCAGCTTGTCCGTCATCTTCTCTTCCTTCAGCAATGCTGCGCATACCTTGCTGTCTGGATCCGAATGTAGACATTTCCTGATTGCTGCCAGCCCCCCTGGGAGATCGCCGAGGGCGTAGAAGGATATGGCCGAGATTTGGAGATGCGGGGTTGTGTCGCCAGGCTTCATCTGCAATATGTGTTGTAGGTCGCTCATGCCCATCTCCAAGTCACCTCGCTCGAATAAACACTTGGAACGTAACTGGCGCAGCGCAACAGCCCGATTCGCAACCATGATGGCGGCTCCGGCTTGCGTAACACATTCCTCCCAGTCCCCGCTGGCTGCTGCCTTCTCGGCACGGCCGGCAGCAACAGCCGCATCCTCCAGCGCAACTAGTTCGTTCACTTTCTTTGCCTTCTCGTAGTGCTCCCTCGCGGCGTCCCAGTCGGCGCTGCGTGCCTTCAACTTGCCCAGCTGGATGTGGGCACCTTCGAAACCAGGTTTGAGCGCGAGCACTTTGTTGAAGTCATCGGTCGCTTGCGAGGTGCGGCCAAGCGAAAGGTAGGTGGTAGCACGCTTGAAGAAGGTCAGGTAGTTGGAGGGGTCGCGAGCAATGGCAGCATCATAGTAGACGAGCGCATCACTGGTCTCCCCTTTTGAGAGATGGCTTTGCGCCGAGGCGAGGAGGTTGGAAAGTGGCAGATCGGAGGGTATGTCGGCCGGAGAAAGGCCGTTCACAATGGAAGCGGCCGCAACGGCAAGGGCTGATAGCCGGATCAGCATCTTAGATGATGGCGAAGGCCGAAAGCCAGTCGTCCACTCAACTCGAGACGCAGGTGGCTTATTTATCGAATCGTTATTAGGATTGTAAAGACTAGATGACAGAAATGGCCACGATTAGGTTTGTGTTCAGGAGAAACTTAAGTTTAAAAGACCTAAGAGATTGATAGGGTGAAGAGTGAATGAAGGGCGATATGAGCTTCAACAAACTGGAGAATGGAGGTTGATGGAGCCAAGTTGTCCTTTGACGGATGACAGCGTTAGCGGCACGGCTAGCGCCCGGTATATGTAGCGGGTGTACGTACCTTGCTACCACGCTAAGGGCATGCACGTGGCACTGAATGGTACACCTCCGCAGGGGGAAAAGTTGTTAGCTCGGTACAGCCAAGCCGCCAGCCAAGCCACTAAAGCACTACAATAAATAAGGGTATTAATATTGGGAAAAGTGGCATTTATTGTCCATCATCTTATCTATCATTTTATCTAATAATCAATGGAGTCTCCATTTGCCTCAAATGGCGATGCCTCGAGGAATGGTAGTGACCGTTGCCATGGTGAAAAAAAGGGTGATGAGATGAAATGCTTCCTTTGGCTTCCAAAGTCCTTTTTAGGTACTTTTCTATAGAAACTACCAGAAAGGTTACATCGGGATACTCCGACCACCAAGTCTGCCACCCCCCCGCTGATCTGCAAATTCACTAAGCTAACAACTTTTCCCCCTGCGGAGGTGTAGACGAAACTCCTGCCACCTTATTCGAGTGTCTACATGATTGTAGTGTATACTGGAAACCCCTGCAACTGCATCCCCCAGGAACCAGCAGTATAAACACACCGGTTAGTGCATAGGACTTAGCTGGCTGAACTAACTTCAGCTGCAACCATATAACTATGTACTGCATACTGATCTCGGACGATTTCTTTGATATGTATGCACTGACGGGCTCGGTCCCAAGTAGTAAGTTTTTTGGTAGAGTATCGCCATTTGGTATATAGAATGCCCTGGTCTGAATCACATGCAGGTTCAGGATATATTACTGTGCACTAGTAAGTATTATACTCATTATTCTATAGTCCAGGTACTTCCTCATCCGGTACCCCTGTCCCTGACGCTTTCATGTATCAATGCGAGGGTGCGAGCCAGGCGAGTCCTTTCTGGCCGCATATGTTCACACTCGCTACCGCTTCTAGGCATTGTCTACTATCTGAAGCTAACCACCCGTGTACATCAAACAAGGTATCTCACAACATGTACACCGCGGCCATGTCTTTTCGAGGTAGAATAGCTGTGCAGACGACTTGCATCTCTCAAGAAGTCCTGGCCCAAGGCGGAAAAGATGCCCTTAAGTTGCTTGGAACCAGAACGCATCGTTTTGACGAGCCTTCAAAGTTGACTCTCAACCACCAACTATCACAGTCATTTCCGAAAACCTGGCGGCGACGTGTTCCACGAGGTGTCACCGACCTTGCTTCATCGACCATCGATTGGGGTGCTTCTTCGGCCTGTTCGGACTATACAAACTATTTGGAACTGTTGTCCAGAAGTGGATCGCCCGTTCTATGTGTTATACAGTTCACCCCTGATTCGCTCGTTAGCGTGGTACTTGCAGAGGACTTTGTTTTCTTTCTTTCTTTCTTTCTTTCTGTTTTTTTTTTTTTTTTTTTTTTTTTTTTTTTTTTTTTTTTTTTTTTTTTTTTTTTTTTTTTTTCCCCTCGCTTTCAGGATAACTAGGCGGGACTGCTGGCGAAGATAGCATCCAGTTGGCTATTGCTCGCTGTGAAACGATCGCCTATCGTTCTCGATCTTAACTGTGTTTGGAATAAAGGGGTTTCCAAAATCCCTTGTCTTCTTTCTTGTCCGAGGAGGTCGCAATCTCGGTCTAACAAACAAGTAAGCATAGATATGTATTATCGAATCACGTCGCCGTACACACACGCCTGCCTAGGTACATAGTAACCTTGAGTTCTTATAACAACGACCTGAAAACCACGTTTGGAGCAACACAAAGAGAAACTGCCAGCATGTTTGAAGGGAGAGCCGGTGATTATGAGCGGCATCGAAAGATCCAAATGCACACTTTGACACTAGGCTCCAAGCTACCCATAGACGGAAGATTAGAAGAGCATCCCCATACAACGGCCAAAACATGTATTCTCCGAGACTAGAAGATCATATCACCCCCGGATCCCCCACCTGTCCGCCTTGCCATCCATACCGCTACTATCACCCCCACAACCACCTTGACAGCAACTAGAAGAGTATCCTACACACAAGAAAGCCGTGGAATCACAGTGTTCCTACGCGCAAAAAGAACGAAACAAAAGGAAAAGCGAAGACGAAGCCACTGACGACTACCGACCACAATTGCTTTATGTCGACGTTAAATCTAATGTGTCCTAGAAGTCGCCCAAGCATGCTCGAGCTGGTCGATTGATAAACAACTGGGATCAACGGAAGACGTAGAGGCAAGCCGAGACTACGAAGAGCTCTTCGGATATTCACCAGGCATATGAAGGTGGGATATGGTTGGAACGCTGTCATTGCGCATTCCTCCGATAGTTGGGCGTGTTCGATCCTGGAAAACGTCACCACCACTGTTACTGTCCATCTGCCCAACCATAACTGTCCTTGGCATTGTATGGCTGGAATGTTGAGCACTCGCAGATGCGATATCGTTGTGCATGCCACTCTCATCCCCCAGTGGGGACACTGCTTGTAGGGCACCCATGGAGGCTGGGATATCTCTGATATCAGAAGCTACCCCTCGCTGGCCGTGACGAACGTTTTGCTCGTCCGCATCGTCGTCCTGTCTAGCAAGTAATATCATATCGGGACTGATTCGACAATCATCAGTCTGTTCGCCATATTCCCGGAGAATGACACCATCGCCTAGGTTTCCAACAGTATAATGCATCGACAGGGGTTGGCCGTCAATTTCGTTGTGTACGCCATGAACTTGACTCCGGTTTGGGTTGGCATAAGTGTAATCGCCCTGATGTACTGTAAGAGTGGGCCCCTCGCAATCCGGTGGAGTTGGTTTCCGTGTTCTATCGTGTTGCTCTATGGCGCTGTCTGGCAATGTGGTGGTAGCCGCGGTGGCATCGACAATGCCGTTCTCGTCGTTTCCGGAACTCACACTAAGCGGGGAAACGGGAACCTGTAAGCGTCTTTGTGCATTTACCTGGAGATCAGATGGGAATCGCCCACCTGAAGGACGTCGCGGCAGAGCGTCTTGCCTCGGCGGCTGGTTGACATATGCCACGCTTGCAGAAAAGGGAGGCTCCTCGTCGTCATTGACCCCATCGCTACTAATGGAAGACCGCTGAGAGGACCTGCTGTAGCTTCTTCCATGGCCGCGAAGGAAATTGGTGCGTTCTTCCGGGGTCCGCTCAGTAAGCATTTTGATGTCCTCATACCATGCCATCATCGTATCATGGCTTTCGGCGCGGAATACCCACGTATGGCCACGGTGCATTGTTCCGGTTTGGCGTCCTTTAAGGATGAACTTGTTGGACGAACTGCCCTCGGTAGAATGAGACCCAAGCTTTTGCTCCGGAAGGTAGAGCGACATGACCGGCCCTTGTCCCTTATCGGCAGACTTGAACTCGTGTAGGTGGGTAGGCGAGAGTACGTACCTGCTATTGTTAGTAAGAGAACAGAATATGCACTGCCGGGAAGAACCTTCTTTTAATGGCTCGGATACTTACCATCCTGCCGAATAGCTTTTCAAATATTTGCTTTTGCGCTCCAAAAGACCCGCTCGGATTTCCTGACAAGCGTGATGGTCACGGCCGGGATAGTGAATGAACTCAGCCGATCGCATGGGTACGTCCGGATCCACGAACTGATCATCTTTTCGAATGAAGGAGTTCCATTCGGTATCCTTGGGCATGGAAACTGGGCCAATTCGAAGCTCTTCAATAGCACTGTAAGCAACATCCGACTCTCTCTTGAGAATACCAGCATAAGCGTTGTAAGATTTTTGTATCTCGCCAACGACAATGGACTCGAGCTCCCGTCCCGAATTCTCAAGGTTCAGGTAAGCCTTTGGGTACGGCAGTTAGCTGTGAACAGGACTCTCCCAACGAGCCACATGGTGAAAAGTGCGTACCTGATGCAGATAGTTTTCCTCGTCAATTTGCCTTTCCAGCTGGCGATCCACTGCTAGTCGTAACAGGTATGGATCTTCTTTGCCTGTTGTAAGAGCTGGGTCGAGTTCGGTCTTGCCAAGAACTTCCTGAAGACTATTCACAGCTCTTCGAGTGGCCTCCATTTCCTTGTCAACGGAGTTTTTGAAATCGCCAGAGAGATTTTTGATTTCCTTGATCTTCTGATGTAGGTCACTCCGTAAACCCGTGAGTGCTAGGATAACATCCTCTTCGATCTCGCGTGCTTTATTGGACTCGGCAATGGCTTGCTTGTTGTAATTTCGCAGAACCTGGAGGGCATCGTCTAGCCCACCATCTGAAAGAAATCCTGGGGGAGTCGACGTATTATTCAGTACATTCCCCAACCTAATGAGCGATTTGGAACGGTGCTCATAGTGTGTCTGGATCTCCTTGAAGAAGACAATAAGGTCTTTGAGAATCTTTCGCCATGCTAAGAAACAAAAACATGAAGGTTAGGCGCGGACTATGTTAGCAGACAGGTATGAACTCATACCTTGAAAACGGTTGGCAAGGACGTCGGTGGGACTGCCTGCCGTCGGAACCGGGCAGTAAAAGGCACTGTTCATTCCTTCTTGGTCGGAGTTCTGTTGAAGTGCCAAACTCCGAACACTCCCCGCTTTCATGCTGCGACGGCTGCCGCTCCGTTTGAGGCTCCCACTACGTCTAAGAGACGCTTTTTTCTTGAGAGTGTTGCTGCGGGACATGGAAGCGGTCCCATCCCCGTTAAGGCCATTCACAGAACCGGCGTACGAGTTCGTTCGGTACATGGTGCTGTGAGGTCGCGTGCCGTCGACGATCGAGCTTCCTCGTCGACCGGCATCCCACTCCTCGTTGAATCTGGCTGAGTGAGGAGCAGTGGCCATGTGTTCATGATCAGATTGCATCAGGTGAGTATTGGCCAGGGTGTTTGACGCGGTCTCGGCATCAGGGCCACCGGAATAGTACTGTGGTTGTTGCGGTGGTGGGTGCTGCTGCTGCTGCTGCTGCTGCTGTTCATGGATAATTTGCTGCTGGTCGGGAAAGTAGCTGTGTCCGCGATCAAAGTTCATGTTGGGGGAGGGGGCCCCGACTGGAGATCTAGCGGTCATCATGATGAGTGTCGGCGCGCGCCGCAGGACACCTCACCCAGTACTGGGACAAGGACAGAGAGTAGGCTCGGGAGTTGGGGAAGTAGAGCGGCTGGTTGGGTCGTGGTAGCGATAGCGGGAATGGTCGACTAGGATATCTAGTCGGCAGACCTTGGACTGTACGAGAGGACGAGAAGACGGATAGGCAATAGGTTTTGGAGAAGGGCAGCGTAAATGAGAGCCTGGATGGACGCGCGCGGGTGTTGAGGATGGCAACCTGGATATGCTTGGATGATGAGGCTGGAACCAGACCAGTAGACAAACCAAGTCGGGCGATCCAGGACTGGAAATTGAAAATAAGATATTGCTACCGCTACCTAGGTCTGGGGTTGTGACTGGACGGGAAGACAATGACGGCGCATCCGACTAGAGGTAGTAGGAAATGTGGGCGCGTGGAAGGTGCTCGTGGTAGAGGTAGCGAGGCGGTTTAGAACTAGAGGAAGAAGGCGAGCAGGGAAAGTGGTAATGTTGATTTGGTGCCTTGGGCCGTCTGGGAGACAGGAATGATGTCGTCGTCACCGGGGGCAGGGCAGCAACAAAGAACGCTGGGCAGGGTCTGGGCTAATTGTGCTGCTGTAGCGTGCGCTATTCCGGGCATATGATGGAGCTGTTGATCGACCCCCGCAAATTACGGACCGGGGCCTCGACGGAGGTTCAGTCGCAGCTTCAGATGAAGTGACCCCACCCAATGGCACACCACAGTTCCTAGACAGGTCGCGCTTAAGCTTACCTATTGTTTGACCCTTTTTTTTTGGTGGATGTGGTTCTCGTTCTTCTCTCTGGAGTCAGTCTGGGATTCCTCAAGCAATGAAGGTCAGTCGTAGAAGTACTCTGTGAAACGTAATCTTGGCTTGGCACTCAGATAAACCTAGTGTAGTGTAGGTGACATTGGTAGCTGAGCAGAAAGAGACGTCCGGCTAAAACGAGCGAGCCCGTTCAGTACGAGACGGGAGCTGGTGGTTCCAAATTACAGGTTTTAGTTGTCATATCACAAGACCTTGCATAGACACGACGGCCAGAGCAGCCCATGGTTGACCCATTACATCATCAAGAGCGAACACCACGTCGAGCTATCTTGAGCCAGGTGAGCCTGGCCACAACAGGCACTGTCCTACTGTACATAGTTTTAACAGGTAGAGGTAACCTGGGTAGGTAATCTGCCGTGAACTACCTGCAACCAGGCGCTTCACATAACCCGTGGTCTTGCTGTTTCGATCGAGGTCCAAGACGATTTCCAGGTTTGCCAAATTGGGCAATCTCACTGCAAATCAAGTGCACGTTGAATCGAACGCAAAGGTGGCCGTTCTTTGTGCCACCAACTACTAAGTATCCGCCCGGCGGGTGACGTATTGCGGCCTTGGTTTTGCATCGTCCGCCCAACGAAGAATATCTCCCATCCCTCTTCAAAACCTCAAGGTACTGGATTTGATCAATGTCTGGGAATGGCAGGTCAAAATACGACCAATTGCGTCAGTGGGAACAAACTAAGCAGGTGCTGAAATGCCAAGCCACGCAGTTCAATCACCGTACAACTTAAAGGCATCTCGCGTGTGAAGGCTAAGCAGGTACTAGTCGAACACAATAGATACAAGGTTGTTTTTCTTATTCGTATATTAGTACAAACTATTCCCTAACATCCTTAAAAGTTTCATTGTTAGATAATTTCCTACGTACCCTACATCTTCTTATAAAGGGGCAATATATTACGGGGTAAGGCGATATTGAACGTATAGGGTAGAATATAACTTGCGTAATTATACGAAGAAGAAGGGAAACTATAGAATCTATACGTAGCGGCTTATCCTATATAGGCGAGGATGAGCCGTATCCTTAGTATATGTAACCGGAGCCTCCGGGAACGTATAGCCAATCAAGGGGGCCCGCGTAGGCTCAATAACTACTATAGCAATAGTAAAGCTAAACGGATTAGCCAATCAAAGAACGTACATCAACCGGTAATTATAACTATAGTAATACCGTGACTAAATAATAATTACAAATTAGCTTTATAATATTACCCCGGGCTTAAAATACCTTCAGGTACTAAATTATATAAAGGAAAAATCACCAATCCTCCTCCTCCAAAGGCTTAAAGCTCTCTATTACCAAGTTTATAACCTTTTTGAGGGTATCCGCGGCCGGTATTGCGTATCGGAGCGACTATCTTATAATTAGTACTATTATTAACGGTCCTAATCCCGCGCTACTATAAGTTTTATTTAAATTATAGACAGCGTATTTATACTTCTTCTCTATAGTAGATTAATATAGAGGGACTAGGAATTCCGAATTATTAATATAAAATTTATAAAGGATATTAATATAATATTCTATATTATTAACCGATTCTCAAATTAGTATATAAGATTTATTTTAAATAATATAGTATTTCTATTTACTATTTTCGAAACGATAAGTATTAATCCCTTCGAAGGTGTCACAGGGCGCGAGCAAACACTAAGGTAAGACTTTAATTATTGTACGAGGAACAGGAAGAGAACCCTATACGTGTACGAGAATTATATAGGGTATTGTTAGGAACGTAGGCGAAAGGTAGGCTGAGGTGACTACGGTCGTAGCCACACGTAGGGGACGGCAAATTAAGGGTCAATCCAAAGATGTATTGATAACTACCGATTACAATAAGGTACGTTCCGTTAAACCTCTTTTATACTTATATAAATTTTATTTATCCGTTGACGAATATTATAGAGCCTTATACTAATCTAATACTTCAGCGTAGTGCCGGATTATCCTTCCTGCGAACCCGACCTAATATAGGCATTATTATAAATAATCCTACGCTTTAATTAACGAAGGGGAATAGTAGCTGCTAAAGTACTTTTATATATAAATTCTTAGTTTCCTAATACGACCCCCCCCTTATAAGTTCCGTCTTTAGAATTTTTATAATAAATGCCGGGTACTGTAGTATTATTGGGTATTATTTACTATAGCCGCTAATATTATATTCTAAATTATAACCGCTCCGCTACCGGCGAACCGCCCGCTAGAGTATTAGTATTGTATTATTTATTCTTATAAATTCCAAATATAGCTACAAAATTAATATTAGATCTAAAGAACTAATATTCCGCCTACTAGTATATCGGCGCTATAATATCTATTCTTATAAATTCTAAATATAAGTACGAAATTAGTATTAGATTTAAAATACTAATATATTGTCCGCTAGAATATTAGTATTATAATATTTATTCTTATAAATTCTAATATAGATATAAAATAGGTATTAGGTTTAAATGTTTAATATTCTACCTATTAAAATATCGGTATTATAATATCTATTCTCGTAAATTCTAAATACGGATACGAAACTAATATTAAATATAAAGCGCTAATATTCTACCCGCTAAAATATCGGTATTATAATATCTATTCTTATAAACTCCAATTACGGATATGAAATTATTATTAAATTTAAAAAGTTGGCCGGGTTCTTAACCGTTACTAAGACTGTTATTCCGCAAATATACGAAGTAATAAACTTCATTTTACCTAATAAAAAATATTATATTAAATTTAAAAGTATTAATAAGTATTTTAGAATATTAATATAATTACGCCCCGTAATTCCTCTTACCGGATATTCTCCGTTATCCGCGTTCGTAGTGTAGCTTAATACTTTCGTAGGGTACCCTCCGTTATTTACGCTTATTATATAATACTTATATAATTGAAACCCGAAATTCCTTTTGTAAATTATTTTCTATTATTCGCATTTACTACGACCTATTATAATATTTAAATACAATCCCCCTCCTTATAAATTCCGTCCTCGGGACCTTTATTTCCATCCTCCGCTTCCTATAATTCTATATACTACTTCCTCTATAAATTTCCCTTATTTATATTATTCTTTCTTAATCGCCTTCCTATTACCCTCGCTTCGTTCTTTATATTATTCCCTCTGTTTTAATAGTATAATTCTTAATTATTTCCCCCGCTTTCCTTACTATAATCCGAATTATATACTTTCCTATTTTCTACCTTTTTTTCCTACTTTTTTATAACCGCCGCTATTATTTATTTATTCTATTCTTCCCTTTCTAATTATTATTTTTGTTTTATCCTTTTGTTTACCCCCTTCTATTATTTATATAATTATTTAACGCTTTATTTACCCTATATTATTTTATATTCGCCTGCTTTAAATTATATTTACTTATTTCGATTTATATTCGTATAGGGATTTCCTCCTTCGTTTATATAATATCCTTTCCACCTACCCTCTTCGTTTTTCTTTTCTTCTTCTTCCCTTCTTTACTTTTACGATTATATTTACTACCTCCTCCTTTAATTTTATAATTACTTCGGCTACCCCCTCGTTTAAGCTAGCCCCCGCTACGAACGTACGTATTTTTATTATATACCTACGTATTAATCCTTATTTCTTTTATAAATTTAATTAATATATTCGCTTTTCTTTTTTATTTTTTTTCTTTTCGCTCTATCCTCTCCTTCCTTTTACTTTATACCCATAATTAACCTTTAATTAATTATTCCTTTTTTATTTTTTAATAATATTTATCCCTTTATTTATTTAGGATATAGTATTATTTTAATTTAAACGTTCGCTAATACCCTAATCCTAAATTTATATAAAATATTCCATTTAATTAGTATATATATTTACTAGACTAAAGGTACGCTATCTTCCCCTTATCATCTCTCCTATTTTTTTTTTTTTTTTTTTTTTTTTTTTTTACTAACGTCTTCTCCTTCTAGAATTCAACGAAAGATCGTAATATTCGCTATCGCTACGCCGCTACATATTTGAAATCCCCCGCGGTATTTGTAATTTCCGGAACGATATATAAAATATAGCGGCTGAAATTATATACTTTACTAATACTAGTAGCCCCCTACTTACCCCCCTCTTATAATAATCACGTCGGTCCGTAGCGGCGTTTTAGGTTGCAATATAAACGCGCTTTATTAATAATAGTCTCCTTATAATATTATTTAGTATATTCCGAATTAAGAATTTTGATTGTAAGGGCTATTTAAGATTTAGCTACTATAGTATTAGTAATACTAATATTAATATTAATCCGGTAGCCCCTATTAGTAGTCCTATTATTAATAATAGTAATTCTTTTATAAATATCTTTATATTGGATTTTCCTATTCGTATTACCCCCTCCCCTAATTGTACTTAAGGTCCTTAGTATTAAACAGTTGATAGGAGGCTAATATTTATAAATAGGAAATTGGACGAATTATTAGAATTTGCGAAGGAGGATTATAAATAAATAGTATAAAGTAATATTTACGAATATTATCGATAGGCGCAATAACGTACGGGAATATTCCTTTTAAGGTTGTAAATTCTAATCCTATATCAATAATAACGAACGCTGCTAAAGATTTTTTTATTCGGAATAATAATAGAAAATACGAATTATACTCTATTTAACGCTTTATTAATATCCTATATTAAATTAAATTACCTTCCCTTCCTATTTCTCGTCCTATTTAATATTTCTATTTTATATTTCTGTTTTATATTTCTACTTTCGTATTACTACTTTATATCTCTATTCTATATTTCTACTCTTATATTTCTACTTTATATTTCTACTTTATACTTTATATTTACATCTTATATTTATATTTAACATCTCTATTTATATTTCTATTTCACGGCTTATATTTATGTTTTATGTCTCTATTCTACGTTTTATATTTATATTTTACATTTACGTCTCACATTTACATCTTACGTCTATGTTTTATATTTATATTTTATATTTACGTTTTACGTTTTATATTTACATTTAGCGTCTCTATTTATATTTCTACTTTACGGTTTATATTTATATTTTACGGTTCTATTCTACGTTTTACGTTTATATTTTACATTTACGTTTTACGTCTTACGTTTATATTTTATATCTACGTCTTATATTTATATTTTATATTTCTATTCTATATTTCTAAATAATTACTATTCCCCTTCTATTACCTAATTAACCCTTATTAACCTAATAATCGGCCCGCCGCTAGTATACCGCTACTATATTTCCCTAACTTTATATTCTTTAAAAAGGTTTAGGTAATTTATATTCTTTTATAAGATTTACGAATTTTTATTGTCCGGATACCCCTTCTATTTAATTTAAAATTATTATTAATGGCCGGATCCCTAATACTTTATAATCGCCCCAATTTCGTATTAAATATTATTTTCCTTAATATTTATAATTTCCCTTCGTAGTACTGTTGTAGCGGGATCCCTATAATATAGTTCTAGTAAAGT